ACTTCAAGGAAAGGGCTCAAGTTCAAGCTGAGGATTTCAATGTGAAAGGCCATAAAGCTCTCACTGAGGGGATCCCCAGGCAGACCCACCACCTCCTTGCATTGAACAGGAGGCACTTACCCTCAGTTGCTGTCCAAGACTCAAGACCCTGCTGCACCTGAGAAATCAGGGAGGTAGAGGTGAGCGTCTTCAGAGATGTCAAGAGAAAATGCCACGGGGCAGAGGAGAGAGTTGAAGGTCTCCTCCGTTCCTGGAGTCCTGTCCAACCGTGTCTCCTCCATCCAGAGTGCTTTATGCTGGGCAAAGAGCTACTGACGGTTATCCACCTTCCTCAGAGGAGAGCCATTGTGTCAAGTTTTCCCTGCCGGCCACCTAGACCCATGGGGACCACCTGACCGTCTACCAATTCATCCCCCCTTCCGCTGACTCCACCGTGTTCCATTTTATTTCCAGGAAGTTCAGTAAATGTTCCCTGTGTGTCTAGCCTGGGATCTCAGAGAAGAATCATTGCCTATTGCTGCCTGCCGGAAACGCCTGTCCGGGAACTGGTGGTGGCCTAGAATCCAGCCCTTGAGCTCACTGTGAGGAACACTGGGAGCCCGTGGGCTGTGGGGCCAGAGGGGCTCAGAGCAGCTGACCCAGCCTGGACGCCAGGAGCCTTCCAGAATAGGTGTCTCCCCCACCCCCACACATCCGTTCTTGGAGGACTTCACCCAGCGTCTAATTCACCCTCTGTGCCCTCATCTTCATTTTTTCTCTTGCAGTCTTCACAGTTTGAGGCATGTTACATTTATTGGTTCATCTGTATCTTTGCTTCGTTTTTCCTTGCTCCCCTGCTCGAATGTCAGCTGTCTGAGGACAGGGCTGCGTGCGTCTCATTCGCTTCTATATGGGCAGTGACTGTGGCCATGTGACAAGCCTGGTAGACACTTGATAAACAGCTTCTTTCCTAATTCTTATGCTATCACAGGCAGATCCCAAACCTTGCAGGGATTCAAAAGTCCAGTCCAGTTTAAAAACTTCCATCTCAGGACACCTCGGTGGCTCAGTCGGTTAAGCGTCTGCCTTCGGCTCAGGTCATGATCCCAGGGTCCTGGGAGGTCCTGGAATCGAGCCCCGCATCGGGCTCCCTGCCCAGTGGGGAGTCTGCTTCTCCCTCTCCCTCTGCCTGCCTCTCCCCCTGCTTGTGCGCTGACTCTCTGACAAGTAAATAAATAAAATCTTTTAAAAAAATAAAAACTTCCATCTCATATCCACTTTTACATTCATCCCAGTTTTTTCTGGAATCGAGCTCTGACAGGACCTTGGACTTACCATCTGGAGGGGGTAGGATTTACCCTTTTACTTCTTCTCCTCTGCCATCAGGTGTGTGCGTTCGGGGAGGAGGGACCAAGAGAAAAGAACTCTAGCCTTTTTGCCTTTTGGTGCTGATGTCCTCTCTTGACTCATTGCATTTTTTGTGTTGTAGGCAACCACAGACGACTCCCTCTGGGGCAGAGATGGGGCCTTCTCTGCCTTAAATTTCCCTGAGGGAACTCTCTACTTTCTGCTGCTTTGGGGGCTCATTGCCCTGCACCCCAACCTCGTGGTGAGGGACAGAAAGGCTGCTCCAGCCCAGAAACCCTCCACAGCACCTACTCCTTAAGTTGGCACTCAGCACTTCCTCAGTCCGGCTCAGGGTGGCATTTCCCTAACCACCCTGACTGTCATACCCCCTCCACCTTAGTTGAACTGAATAACCTCACCCCAAACCTTCCCCAGCCCTATTCCCCCTCCTCAGCTTCTCTACATTTTTCATGCTCTTATCTCTGGCTAAAACCCCTCCCCTACCTCCACCCATCTCCGTGACAGGCTCCATGGCCAAGGGCAAACATGGCATCATCCTCGGGCCTTCCCTTCCCTCGACTCCAGTTGAACTCAGCCCCGGGGCACATTGGTATCCCCCGGGATTCTGCAGACCTCCAGAAATTCTCATTTAATTGGTCTGAGTGGGGTCTGGGCAGGGGCATTGGCTTAAACACTGCCCAGGTGGTTCTAATATGCGGTCCAACTAAGCGTCCGTGGGCCAGAGGGGCTCACTTGTCTTTTACTCAGAGGACTGTCCTCTCTCCCAGCCTTTGTCCACTATGGACTGGCAGCAGTAGGAAGGCCTTGTGGAATGGTTAACATTCACTGAATGCTTACCAGGTGCAATGCCTTGTCCTGCGTCCTGTAAGTGGACTCTCCCATTTACTCCCCCCACGGCTCTAAGGGGCGGGTGCTACTCATCATGCTCCTTCTATAGATGAGCCCACCGGTGCACGGATGTTAGGGAACATGCGCAGGACTGCACAGGTATGGTTGGTGGAGCAGGGAGTAAAGTCTGGGCTACTGGCCCCAGAGCCCGGGCTGACACCCTGTGGTCTCTCTGCAGTTTGGGCCCTAGTTCAAGTTTCCCCCTTAGCTACTGAGCGCAGATGAGGAAATGAGTGAATGGAAATAACTTCGTCCTAGGCCACACCATAAGTTAGACCCAGTGGGGCATTTCTCAATTAGACTTATTCCTTATACCACTTTCATAAATGGCTCATTTTCCAAAACACCTGTTTGATATTTATGTAATATTTTTTTATTTCAAATTTTATTTCAAATGTTCTTTGTACTCAGCTTCACCTAAGCAAAAATATCCATTGTACCATAGGTTTGATGCTGGGAATATTTTTCTAAAGCACACTGGAACAATAAATTTGTATGTATACACACGCACCTGTGGGTACTCTGGCACTCATCTGCTACAAACAGAATTTTCAGCCATCCTTCCGCCTTAATAACGTGGATCTGAATTGTATCTTGAATTAGAAAAAAAGAGTTCAACTCATATTAGAACCTGTTTTTATTTTTTTTTTAAGATTTTATTTATTTTTTGACACAGAGAGAGAGTGTGTGTGTGTGTGTGTGTGTGTGCATGAGTGGGAGGGAGGGGCAGAGGGAGAGGAAGAAGCAGACTCCCCGCTGAGCAGGGAGCCCAATGTGGGGCTCGATCCCAGGACCCTGAGATCATCACCTGAGCCGAGGGCAGATGCTTCACCGACTGAGCCACCCAGGTGCCCTGAGAACCTGTTTTTTAAAAGAGCCTCTCTTCCAACACAAAACAGGTTTTGCCTGGAATTAGCTAGAAAACCTAACAAGTTTGTTAAGGCCATGGCTTTTAGCTGCTTTTAATTTTACGAAGTTCCAGATCTTTATGAGGCATTTCGCAAGAAGCACCTCTCCATTTGAAAGGAGTGCTGAGGCTGGAAAGAGTACCCCTGCGGGATACATATATCATTATTACCGTTTCAAATATTCATCAAGGGGTACCTGGGTGGCTCAGTTGGTTAAGCAACTGCCTTCGGCTCAGGTCATGATCCTGGAGTCCCTGGATCGAGTCCCGCATCGGGCTCCCTGCTCGGCAGGGAGTCTGCTTCTCCCTCTGACCCTCCACCCTCTCATGCTGTCTCTCTGTCATTCTCTCTCTCTCAATAAATAAATAAAAATCTTAAAAAAAAATCAAATATTCATCAAAATGTGTTTTTGTATTTTTATAGCCCTTCCACAAAAGCCCCATTTTTAATGCAGACTATTCTGGCCTGGCCCCTGGTGTTAGGCTAGTCTTGTGTACATAACCTACATGCCAAGTGAGTGCCGAGGAGAACAGAGGTACAGAAACTCAGAGAGAGGAATACATAGACGCTGTGGATGGCAAGACCCAGAAAGACATCAGTGAGGAATGGATGGGTTTGAAGTAACCTGGCTTAGCGCAGGGTCACGGGCATAGAGATGGGGAAAGGAGTACAGGTTTGGAATGTTCCTACCCTTCTGCGTGAGTTAGAGGAGAAAATCAGTCCCTGTATCACATCCCTTGCACCAATAAGCTCCCAGGTCCCCAAAACGGAGTTATTATTTTATTTTATTTTATTTATTTATTTATTTTTTTAAAGATTTTATTTATTTATTTGAGAGAGAGAGTGAGAGAAAGAGCACAAGAGGGGGGAGCGGGAGAGGGAGAAGCAGACTCCCTGCTGAGCAGGTAGCCCGATGCGGGACTCAATCCCGGGACTCCAGGATCATGACCTGAGCCGAAGGCAGTCGCTTAACCAACTGAGCCACCCAGGCGCCCATGGAGTTATTATTTTAAAACATCATACTTTTAGGGACACCTGGAGTGGCTCAGTCAGTTGAGCATCTGACTCTTGATTTCAGCTCTGGTCATGATCTCGGGGTGGTGAGATCAAGCCCTACATCGGCTCCATGCTCAGTGTGCAGTCTGCTTGAGATTCTCTCTCTCCCTCTCCTTCTGCTCCTCCCCCCTGCTTGTGCGCTCTCCTCTTTAAAATGGGTAAATAACTCTTTAAAAAAAAGTGCTTTTAAAAAAGTTGATAGGGGCATGCCTGGGTGGCTCAGTCGTTAAGCATCTGCCTTCGGCTCAGGTCATGATCCCAGGGTCCTGGGATCGAGCCCCGCATCGGGCTCCCTGCTTGGCGGAAAGCCTGCTTCTCCCTCTCCCACTCCCCCTGCTTGTGTTCCTGCTCTTGCTAACTCTCTCTCTGTCAAATAAATAAATAAAATCTTTAAAAAAAAGTTGATATGGTTCTCACTGTGGGGATTGTGGGAAGTCAAATGGAGGCGTCTCTGAGGATAATGTACAGATCATTAGACTAGGTGACCATGAAGTTGGGAAATATTGGCATCATACACAACCTCCTTGTAGAATTGGGAGAAAAGGGGTTTTGTTTGGGAGGCAACGTGCACTGCTATGTTTGCTACCCTCTGGCTCCAAACAATGTCCCTCCAACTGAGTGCAAATGCTGAATATGTTAGAAAGCAGAGGAGGGGAAGGAAGAGTGACTCTCATAAGCTCCTGATTGTTCTGCACACCCGTGGGCAGAAGAAGAATGGCTGGAATTAGAGGGTCAGGGAGAAAGGGGTGCAAAGCAAAAGTTATTACTGTGAGAGTCCACATTCAACCAGTGGCGACAGTGACAACTCTGTTTTACACCTAGGACATAGTGGACAGCAAGGGGAGAGAAGGACAAGAGATCCCCACTGTGAGTTGCTCTGTCCCCGGGGACCTGGAAGAGCTGGAGACTGCAAAGGAGGACCCCCAGACCACAAACACAACGAAGAATAATAATTCCATCATGAGCTTCTTTAAAACTCTGGTGAGTGGTTGTTGCCCCTTCTTTCCTCTTTCCTATTGCTCAAAAGTTGTGTTAATTCTGCGAATGATGTATATTTGTTATTGTACCGGATGGGGGATCATGATGGTGCAGCTGGAACATTGGAGAACAGGGACAAGATGTGCTTTGCAAGAGGATTGTGTCACATCGAGCATTCAGTGAGGGAGCCCTCAGAGCCGGGAGCTGTGGTATGAACATCAGGTGCCCCAACTGTGTGACATGAGCTGTGTTGCGATGCCACTCTCCTGAAGTTCCATGTCTAATGGTCATTGATCATAAGCATAATTGGAGAAAAGCTCCTTGAGTTGTTGACCTATCAAAGCAGTCTTGCCTTCAGATGGCAAATAAAACTGAAGAAATCACTTCCTATCTTGTTACATCAAAATCTACTATGTTGATGGCATAGAGGCAGGGACCCAGATCCTCTAAGGCTTGCTTGTCTCTGACTCCTCAAGGCAGTCAAGCCTGGCCCATGCCAGACCTGTGAGAGGACTGAATGAATCAATGAATCAATGAATCAATGAATGCATAATCAAACAGACAGCTCCAAGTGTGTTTGGGTTCTTTCCAAAGCCCAAGACTAGCCTCAAAAGGTAAAAACAAGTCAACAGAATGTGCCACAAACACCAAAGGGGTGTTTGTTTGGATTAGTGGTAGGAGTGATGGAAAGTCTGTGGCCTTCCAGGAGACAATTTTGAAGGTGGTCAGGCTCTTAGTGAATGTATAAGGTCTGATGTATTTCATTATAAAACACTAATATTTCAAACTCTTTTATACCTAGAAATTATCCAGAAGACCGTGGCTTTCTACTGAACTTGGTAGAATGCCTTTGCACTGAAAAGGACTTCTCATTACATTCTTTACCTGCAGAGTGAACTGTACCACCCCCCCAAAAACGATGTCTCTATGAAATCAAATCACCCTAAAGAGCTAGCTATGATTTTTAATATTTGGTTTTCTTAAACTTTTAAGGTTTCACCTAGCAAAGCTGAAACAAAAAAAGATCTGGAAGACACGGTAGGTAGTTTGAAGTGTGTTCACGTTTGGGTTTGTGTATGGGATTGGATTTGGATTTGTGTCTGCTGCTTTGTTTCTTGAATTGTGTATGTGTGTGTGTGTATTTAGCAATTTAATAGTGCTGTTAAATTGTCTTTAACGTGTTTTGTTTGGGTCAGTGGTATTTTGATGAAAATTTTAGTGGAAAGCTTGAAATATTTGCTAACTCTGGATAAACAATTTCACAATCACCAATTTCTTATATAAAATAAGAACAGAATACTAACAACCATATATCACGTTAGTCTTTTTGATTGTGTGTGAAGAGACCCAGGGAATATAGGAATATAGTACAAATTAGCCACTGGAAATGAGAAAGAGGTGAGACAATTTAAAGTAGAAGTAAACTGCTCCATTTTTGGTTTTTAAAAAATACGTTCCATGTTTTTCATATAATTTGGAAAAAATAAATCTCCACCACAAAGGCAATTGTTCGGTGAAATGAAAGTCACCATTGGACGCTTGCCAAGGGAAGGAATGTTTAGAGTTAGGATGCCCTAGAGAGCTTAAATTTTTTCACTGTCATCCTAGAGATCCAACCAATTCCCCTGAGAATAAATTTTATTCAGAACAATTACTTTCTAGAGATGTTTTCCTTTACACTTGACAGAACTGATTATCCCTAATGGAACACATGGTTTAACTTTCACGGGAATCGTGAGGAAAGTTGAACTTGGTGACAGATAAGTGTCTTGCGTCCTTCTTTTGATAACTGAGAGTGCTTTGAAAGACACTGGGACCCAATAAATGGCTTGGCCAGCCCAATACATCTGTTACCAATATTCGAAGGGGCCAGGTTGGGAAAAGGATCCTAGAATTTGTCTCAAGACCTGAGTTTGAGCTCCAGGCCTGTTTTGTGGTAGCTATGTGATATGATCCAAACCTATCTGAATCCAGATCTCAACATCTGTAAAGTTGGGACAATAAAAATTCTGTCTCACCACCCCGGCCTTGAAGGAAGGGTGACAATGCCTGGTAAACCATGGAACTCTTGATCGCTACTTCCATAATCACTGCAAGATGTATTGAATGCCATGATGACATTTGTAGTTATCGATTGCTTCTTCTAGAATGTTCTTCTCCCAGTAGAAACAAATATTTATCTGAGGTATCTACATGCATTTTCCTATAAAATTAGTCATCTGCTATAAGGCAGCTAAGGTCAAGTTCAATGAATAGTTGGGTCCAAATGTTTCTCTTTTGATTCTGTGTCTTGCATTGTTTGAAATCACACAGCACAATAAGCTATAAACAGTGGGGTATGTGGGTGTGTTGTGTGGCTTCCCAAGTGACCTGATGCACTCATTCTCTTCAGCTGCTCATGCATCAAGGCCCCAACTGCACGAACCTAGCTGATAAAATCTCCCGACCCTGCCCAGAGAGGTCAGGGTCACTTCTAGTGGAGTTGAGCCTCAGAAGAGGGTTTTGTGAATGTAGGTCATCTACGACACAAACCGACCTCTTTCCACAAACCTGTGTTTTTAACATCCTTTCTACCAAAGTTCTTAGATTCTTGCTTTTGAAACATTTACACGGTTTGTCCATCTTCCCATTTGGCCTGGACAATTTTGAGCACACTCCACACTCTACGCAAAATCCCCTGCCATTTGTAATTTGAGTCGACAATTCTGAATGGTTGTTGCTGGACTGTTGCAGTTCCAATCTCCCCCAACTTTGGCTCAGTGGACGGGCACGCAGTAGACACTTCTCTTGCCTGGGAGATCTGCCCACCTAGAAGTCAGTTGAAATTTTTGCAGATACTGCTTCCCTGAAGTTTCTAATACTGAATAAAAGATGGGTTGGAGAAAGAAAGCCCTCCAGGCTAAGTGCTTGTCTTGACTCCAAGATGCAAAAATAAATTGTTTTCATGTATCTTTTCCTTTCCCATGAGACAAGAGTGTTTAGATCTTTAAAATGATCAAGTAGGGGCTGTGTTATCTTCTTTTTTTTATCTGAATATTTTATATCATATAGACGGAGCTTAAATGTCCTGCCATTGTCTTTAGCAAATGGATTTGGGTTAATCTGGGTCATTTAAATAGGTCGCCCTGTTGAAAATCGACATGTACTCAAAATAGACTGGGAATCTACTGTGTAGCAAATTGTCTCTGAGAGTTTAAAAAAGAGGAACAGTCACATGATGTGAATGTTGTGGTTGGGGGATGCGGGTGATATACCAGCAGCTAATGTCAAAGAGTTTCAATGCACTTAAAAATGACAGGGCGGGGGGGGGAAGGACTTTGTTTAAAAATAAAGTTCTAAGTTATGACTGCTATTGCCCAAAAGGCATCCAAAGCAGAAAGTGTCTGTGATGGCCAAGCCGGACAGAAGACCTTTGAGAACCAAGCTAAAGTCACCAAGAAAAAGCACCTGCATAGCCCCAGGCTAGGATTCACATTTAGAAAATTCTTTAGGCATAAGGTCTGTATCTTGTTAAATTAGAAAGAAAAAAAAAAAAGAGAGAGAACCCTGGTCTTCACCACATGTACCAGTGGCTGTCCTGGGTCCCCTCAGCTCTGCTTCAGGGAAGACAGCCTTGTGTGGTTGGAATCATGACAGGGAATTAAAAATGACCTGAGTCAAATTTCAATGACTCTCTTCTCCGTAATTATACATAAACATCTGACTAGTTTCTTCCTAGTGTGGACCAGGGTTCTGAAATTATCCTTCTAACTCAGTGTTTCCCAAATGTCGAAAGTATGCATACCATCTTCATCGTTTTTGTCAGATATAGTATTAGTTGGTTGATCTTTTTATATTAAAAAGGACTCATTTCCTATTTAAAGGTATCTCTAAAGAAAACTTTATATTACATGATACATGGAAAACTCAAGTCATTTTTCATAAAGAGGTAACCATGAATATGGCTAATAAAAAAAATTGCATTCTAGCTACCATGTTTGTGTCAACTCCGAATCTAATGCCTTTCTAGCTTTATTAAAATGCAATTTGCCAGCAATAGAAAAATGTTAAAGATGTACCAGCATCAGAGTAAGCTTTTGCCCCCGAATGTTCTTAGAAAGATTAGATGAAAGTTGGGGCGGGGGGGAAGAGTATTTTCTCCATTTTAATGTTTTTTTAGCATTTTATCTCTGCATTACCTAAAATTATCTGTGATACCAATGGTATGCTTCCTACGCTTTGGGAAATACTCTTCTAACCTCAAGAAAATAATTTTATCTTTCTGTGGTGTGTTCCATCCATTCTCAGTCTTAACTATGCTCATACTGAACCCAAATAAAAACGCAAGCGGGGCACCTGGGTGGCTCAGTCGTTAAGCGCCTGCCTTCGGCTCAGGTCATGATCCCAGGGTCCTGGGATCGAGTCCCGCGTCGGGCTCCCTGCTCCGCGGGAAGCCTGCTTCTCCCTCTCCCACTCCCCCCTGCTTGTGTTCCCTCTCTCGCTGTGTCTCTCTCTGTCAAATAAATAAAATCTTAAAAAAAAAAAAGAAAGAAAAATGCAAGCACAAGAAAACAATGAATGAAGGCAGAGCAGTTTCCATCTCCATGTCCTTGGGAAGTGAGGACAACATAGAAGTCAGTTGTGGAGATTTCTCTCTTTCAATGTCTAAGAAGACACCAGTGTTTGAAACCAGCAGTTAAGATCCCTGAATTGGGCCAGCATGCTTGGACATTTGTTTAAAATATCCACCATTCTCCACTAAGTTGAATGGACTTATGAAAAAAAAAAAAAATCCCCAGCTGGATATTAGAGTCCCGGGATTGTGTATGCAAATAAAAGCTCCATAGAAAGATATCCTGGCCGAATCTTTATTTGCATAAGCAAACTGTATTAGGAAGCCACACTTGAATTTCCATACAGGCTTATTTTGTTTTGTAAAGACAGAGGGAGTGGAGGGATAGAGATTGCAGTTGGTTGGAGGTGGGGGCTGGAGATTAAAAAGTGGTGTTACTGTATGTGGGAGACCATTTGTTAACTGCTAGTGAAGAGTGTCATAGACCTTGTGCAGAGAAATCCAGCTGAATTCCCACTTGGAGCTTCTGTGAGTCAGGGGCCTTCAAAGTTTACAAAGTGTACGACTTTTTCCCTCATAGCTGCATTTCAGATGGCATTCATTTCATGCACAGCTAAGTTTCATGCCTCCAGAGTCTCTTTCCTCCACAAAAAGGGGGCCACCCATGTTCCGTATTCCTAAGGTCTCCCCAGATCACTGGCCTCACATCCTGCCACTGAGTTACATTTTGGGCAAAGATAGGATTTGGAGAAAATACTGGGAAGAAGAAGAAGTGCCCCTTTCCGGACTTCTAAGGTTTTGCCTTTTTATGTAAAGTAAGAAGATAATTCTCAAATGTTCTCAGTTCTCATTTATGCAACAGTTTGGTAGAGCTTCTTGGCTTTTACCTCCTTTTTCTTCACCTTATGATTCTGTCATCCAAAAAGATAGGAAAATAGGGCCTTTAAAATGGACCAGACAGACTGTTGCCTGGGTAGAGGGGCTGTGCTGCTCATCCTCAATTTTGCTGTAACTTGGACAGAAAAGAGGAAATCCAAGCAAATTCAGGGGAAAAAAACCATCATCTTCTAGTTTTGCAATTCAAGAAAAAAAATGCAATGGCGACCAATGGGGATCAACTCCTAAATTCATTGTCTCTGTATCTCAGTTTTTCTTCCTATAAAAAGAAATTTTCTTAAAAAAATTTTTTTCTTAGTATAAAAAAGTGGGGAGTCCCGGAATTGATAAGTGAAATAAGCTTCTTGTTACAAATAGAGTGTCAGCTTTCCTTTGCTGAATTGGGATCTTCTTCTCTTGGCTTAATCACATGCTATGCTTCAGAATCAAACTTTTTCACATGTTCTTCAAACACTGAACATGACAACATGCACACAGGCAAGGCGTTGATCCAGGATTTTTTTTTTTTTTTTTTTTGCCATGCCCAGAAATGCTCGTCTTCCCATTCACATTTTCCTGATGTCCATGCTCTCTGCAGGGCGCTAAAATATTAGTAGCCAGCTCATGTGATTCCTAAGCTCTGCCTCATATTCATTGTTTTCCACTTCTTGGTATAATGTTTACACCTAACTAACCCCTCCCCTCTTCCATGCCCAAATGTGAAACAAGATGAACACTTATTAGGGAAGAAGGTAAAGTCATTAGATCTGTAAACTCCAAATCTAATATATTAGAATTTCCATGGGTAGGGTTGCCAGATAAAATACAAACACTCAGTTAAATTCAAATTTCAGATAAACAGCAAATAATTGTTTAGTATAAGTATAAATATGCCCCAGGCAATTCTGGGGATATACATTCTTATGCTTCAAAATTATTCTTCGTTGATCTGGAATTCGAATTAACAGGGTGTCTTATATTCTTATTATTGAGAGTATTGGCTAAATCTGGCAACCCTATGAGGTTGATTCCAAAAAATACAGAGTCGTTGTAATCTCTTCCATAATGCAGACGAAGAGTATTAATATTCAGTTGATGCTGGTAGAACACCATCTGGGGCACTTTGGGAAGTGAAGAGATGGATGGGCAGGGAGAAAAGACTGTGGGTGGTCTATGGTTCTAGAGCCCACTTAGGAGGGGGAGGGTGGGCAGAAACATAACATAGTAGGATCCTATGTAGGCATTTCTCTCTGGTCCTTTCTTTTTTTTTTTTTTAAGATTTTATTTATTTATTAGAGAGGGAGGGAGAGAGAGACAGCATGAGAAGGGAGAGGGTCAGAGGGAGAAGCAGACTCCCTGCCCAGCCAGGAGCTTGATGTGGGACTCAATCCCAGGACTCCGGATCATGACCTGAGCCGAAGGCAGTTGCTCAACCAACTGAGCCACCCAGGCGCCCCTCTCTCTGGTCTTTTCTGTACAATTATTTAGTTATTTATTTAATGCCTATTTCGTGGCAGACACTGGGCCTGATGGGAGCTACGGATGTAATGGAGTCCAAGGCAATGACTCTTACTCTCAAACCTCATGGTCTGGGCAGGGAGATGCATAGTCAACAAACAATTCACCAATATATTACAGTTATATTATTCTATATATAATAGAGTTATCTCCTTGTAATGGTTTTCAAGAGTCTCTGTGTATTTTCCCAGTGCAAAGAGAAGAGGACTACCCATTTCCCAATGAAACTGATGAGTGTAGATGGGTTTCTCAGGCTTTTTGTCATTATCACATTCCCAATGTGAAGCTCTTTTAGATATTTTCTCCCTGCATGAGTACAATAGCACAAGGAGTGGGGAGACCTTGGTTTGTTGGAGGTGGTGTAGTGTAGAGGAGGGGGTCTGAGCGTGGGTTTGGGTATCAAGATTCCCCGGATTTTGATGTCAACTCTGCCCCCTTATTAGTGTAGTCATGGGAAAGTTTTTTTGACCACCTGGGACCAAAATTTCCTTCTCTGTGAAATTAACATAATAATCACTTCCTCCCTCATAGAACTCTTGTTAGAACATCCAATTGTGGGCGCCTGGGTGGCTCAGTTGGTTAAGCGACTGCCTTCGGCTCAGGTCATGATCCTGGAGTCCCTGGATCGAGTCCCGCATCGGGCTCCCTGCTCAGCAGGGAGTCTGCTTCTCCCTCTGACCCTCCCCCCTCTCATGTGCTCTCTCTCATTCTCTCTCTCTCAAATAAATAAATAAAATCTTTAAAAAAAAAAAAAGAACATCCAATTGTTTAGAACAGTGCCTGGCACTGGTATCTTTGATTGTGATTATTAAATCAAAGTTAAGAGTTGGAAATGATGTCCCTTATATTTATTTTAACCCCTTTAATTTCACATTTGGATTAGTAAAATAGTACACATGTATAATATAAGCAAACAGGCATGTATCAGAGGTGCATGCTCAAACTGTTTTTACTGATGGGAACATCATCAAAACCACTTGAAGACCAATGGCCTCAACACAAACTAATGTTTCTCACAGGCAAGTGCCTCTTACCAGCACCTTCATTCCTAATGACTTACATGAACATAATATATATTCTTTTGCAAAAGGAAACTATCTTGACTTTTCCAAAATTTTAACACAAATCCACATTCACATAGAATCTTTGCAAGTACAGAAAATTATAAAAAAGAAAATTAACATACATAACCCCAGCCTATGCTTATTAAAAAAAGGGATCTTTCACTTTTGAAATCCTGAGGTCATTTTAATTTTTTTTAAAACTCTAAAGGGTGCTGAAAAGTCGCCAGCCACTTCATCTGACGTCAAGTCAGACAAAGCGAACTTTATATCCCAGGAGAGCAGAGGGGAGGCCAAGAACCCTACATCCACCAACACTACAAAGGAAGCTGCCAAGGAAAAGGGGGGACCCACCTCTCTGCCTCTGGGCAAACTGTTCTGGAAAAAGGTAAGTCCTATTTTCAAGACTTGCAGAGTAGTTGGGGCTAGGGTGACTGGAGAAATTATTTCAATTGGGCTAATCTATGTGCTCACCAAGTCCAGAGTTTATTTTTCTTCCCTGAAATGACTCAACTAGCCATTGAGTTGAAGACTTGTAATTTACTCCTGGGAAGAATGCAGTGCCTATGGTGTTAGAAGCATGTGTTTCATGGGAAAGAAAAGGAAATAAACAAGTTGATTTTTTTCATTCTTGGAGTTTCTCCGGTTCATGACAGACAGTTGTGGTATTTTGTGATTTCATTTTCTTTCCAAAATGGCTTAGTACTCCGGCTTCCTCCTGGATTCCTCTGAGCACTGTCTCCTCCAGTGAGCTGAACCACCTCTGGGCTTCCTCTCTCTTTCCCCAGCAAGATATAATCAGTCATTAGGAACAACTAAGGCTCACTCTCCTTTTGGAAAACTAAGGTGTCCACCATTCACCACCAGTGCGAGCACACACTGTGCTCTGTGATAGGAGCATTCAAAACATTGTCTCATTTTTTTCCCTCTAGAATTAGGGTGGCGCACAAGGGAGTGCGGTGGGTGGGGCTGAGTCAGTCTGCGAGCTAGTCCTTGATCATCATTGCTGAGCACACCCCAGCTGCCACACGTGTTCAGAACTCTTGCCTCTTTTAAATGTGGCCAAAAGATGAGCAAGACGTCATGGGTGAGAGAGTGGAATATAATTCATAGAGCTGAAAAAAAAATCTAGTAATTTCATCAGAACAGCCCTGCCACTTAGCACTCAGTACAAGGCAGGTGATAAATACAGATGCCCCTATGGTGTTCGTTTTATTCTTTGGTCCAGAATCCAGCTGGATTTCTGGAACTCTTTTCTCTTGGCTTTCCACTGTACAGAAATCTTCTTCTGGATTCTGCCCAGAACACAAACTCCAGTACTTAATGAAAACTTTGGGTGATGTCATTTGGCATTCTGTTCTAATCCTCCTTCCATTCCAACCACCAATTACTTATTTTTAAAAACCTTTTATCAGCAATATAATGTAGGGAAAAGTTCCCAAGTGAGTCACATGTGCATATTGGTGGCCAGGAAGATGACTTAAGCAACCCATATTCAAACATCATTTATTTTAAAAATTATATATATTAAAAATGCATTAGAAAAGCTGACCTAGCACATCAAACTCAAGATTTAATATATATTTTGCTTAAGGTGAGACTATCTACATTTAGTTTAAAAAGTAATCCAATTAAAAGGAAAGTGTCACATAATGAATGGTACTGATCTTGAGTACATAATCGTAAATTCGGACCCTCCAAGGAGGGACACTGTGATGGAATTGATGTGCAATAGATTTATTGGAGGAAAACACCGTGAAGGATAAAGGGGAGGGGACAGGAGGAGGTAGAGAGAGCCTTCAGGCCACAATGAGGGTCTGACATGGCAGAAGGGAGACAGGGAAGGAAGGAGGAGAAGGTTGGAAAAGGCACAGACTAAGGGTGGTGCTGAGCCAATGGCTCGGGTCGTGGTCCCAGGGTCCTGGGATCGAGTCCCACATCAGGCTCCCTGCTTGGCGGGGAGTCTGCTTCTCCCTCTGTCCCTCCCCCCTGCTTCTGCTCTCTCTCTCTCAAATAAATAAAATATTTTTTAAAAAATACAAGTAATAATAGTACCTCATCATAGAAATGAAGATTTAATGAAATCATGCCCGCAAAACCCCTAACACCATGCCTCACACAAAAGTGGCCAATGAATAGTCCTTCCAAACCTATGTTATTTATCTCCTGTGTGCTCGGGCTTGTGGACACACTAACCATGGCCACCTCTTCATTTCTCCAAACCCTCCAGTCTGGGGAAGCTTCTAAGCTACTAAGCCTCAAATACTTCATCTGTCCTTAATCTTTGGGGTCTATAAGGCATATATTGGTTCCTCTTTGAAATTCAAGCTATTTCCATTGAGAAAAAAAGACAGGACCACTTGACATTCTTCCCCCTAATGGTCAGATTTCATAGAGTTCGGTCTCGCTGTTTTTTTTTCTTTTTCACCATTATCTGGCTTTATTTCTTTCGTTGACTGTAAAAATAATGAAGAGAAGCGAAAACCCAAATCACCCGTAAATCTTGCTTTTCCTTCTCCCACCTGATCAGAAAGAACAGCTCTCTATGGAAGTAAAATAGGGATGATGCACTCCTGCAAGAATATTTTCAGTCTCCTCTGTGCTGAGTTTTTTTGTGTCAAATGCTTTGTGCTAAAGCATTGAAAAGATGAAAAGCGAACAGTTTGCTGCCCTTCTGTAGCTTACATTCTCAAGGGAGGACTTATGTTCTAGTCAAAAACAAAATGAAGACCTTCGTTTTCTTTAAATTAGATAAGCTTTGGTTATAAAATCACTGTTGTAAAAACTGTAAAAAAAAAAAACAAAGAGAAATGCTAGAAAATTTTGATCTTTCCGCTAACCCAAACTCTTTCTTCTCCTCTTTTAACTGGGAAGCTTTTAAACAAACTAACTTGAAGTGTATACGTCTACAATATGAACATCAGAAATAAAATTTTCCCCCTAACGTGCTGTGGATATGAAATTATAAGTTATTTTGATTTATAGTCTTGATTGCTGAAGTCGTTCTTATTATAAAACAAAAATAACACAAATAACCTTTGAGAAAATTAATTTCAAATGATGGCGTATTTGCCAAAAAATGTTTAAAATCCAGTTACCTGGACTCTACATATGCCCCTTATTGTTTTGGGTTCTTTGGGGTACCATTTGATCTGTGACCTCACAGAAGTTACTCACCCTGTTTGAGTTTCTTTTTCTTCATCTGTAGAAGGGTTGGAATAAATGATCTTGAAAAATTCTGGTACGCGGCAAATCTTGCATAACAGACAGAATCAGAAAGATTGGACTGCATAGCCTTGGACAAACTGCGGGACCACTCCAAGCCTCTGTTTTCTTTTATGTAAATAGGAACATGTTTCTCCCACCGTGTTGTTATGCCAATCTACTAACTGTACACAGAGAGACCCTCTGTGTGCGTGCACACAATTCGTAAATGATACATTGGAAATATCTTCAAAATATCACCTTTTCTGCTTTCCTTTGGAGGACACAAATGATGTGGGAAATAATGGGTGCTCTGAAGCCAAAGAGACCCATCATCCAGTCTCAGCTCTGACAACTCCAGGCTGTTTGGATGTGGTCAGGTCATTTAAATCCTCCGTGCCTTGCCTTCCTCAGCTGTGGAAGCAGGCAGTGACACCCACCTTTCGTGATTATTGGGAGGATGGAGTGAGAAAAATGAATGCAAAGTGACTGGCCCCGTTCCAGAACAAGGATGTTAGAATCCAGTGTTCATGTGTGGGCTGCAGGTTACGAATGCTCTGGGTGTTTAGAAAAGGTAGCAGTTGGTATAGGTCAAAACAGACTAAGAGAACTTTAAAAGTCCTCTGAATCATCTGAGTTACTTGTTTCAAGTACAGATTCCTGTATTTGATCCCAGAATCCCCGGGAACCCTGGTTAAGAAAGTCTGGCATATGGCCAGACAATTCTGGAAGCACTTGAAAGGCGGGCTGAAATGTCTAGGCTTGAGGAAAGGTCTTAGGGCCACTGTGAAGTCAGTGAACACAGAAGAGCTGTCACATGATCAAAATGATGCTTCCAGAAGACCCGCTAGCAGCAGGATGTGTGTTGGCTTAAGTGCTACCATGTGACAGTATTTGAAAGAAACATTCTTTTTTGAATGTGCTCTTCAAAGGACAGGAGCCCTTGCTATGCAAGTTTAGACTGATGCATTTCAGGGGCTGTGTTTGGGTCCTTATTCTCAGCAAATATAAATGCCCAAACAGGATCCTGCAGTTTCAAACTGAGTTTTTTGTGGTTATCGTGAATGAGGCTGGACAGTTTGTTGACTCAGCATAAAACAGCCAGATGTCCAGCACATCGAAGAAGATCAGAAGTTTCTGGTTTTGAGATTTTAATGGGAATCCCAACCTGTGTGTCCTGATTAGCCCCACACCTGATTAGGTTCTACTGACTGGAGAGCTTGAGAACCCAATAAACACCTTTTGGTCTGCAGAGGTGGGACTTGCACTTGAAAATCCTCTCTGGTCTACTTTGAAGTGAGCTGTGCAAGTGTTGTTCTCATCTCTGAACATATTTCTGATGTGGAAGAATCAAGTCCTCTGCCCTCCATCTGAGAGCTCATCTATCACACGGGACCCACCAAGAGTGGAGAAGAGCGGCCTGCAATCTGGTACCTCTGGTTCCTCCACTTGTGGGCTTTCTACGAGCTGGAAAACATAAGGAGAAAAGGAAGAAGCTGCCCGAGGCCTTCATTTGTCATTGTGTGTTGAGCATGGACACCATGCAGGGTGCAGGTACACATGACATGTGAGATCCAAGCTTGGCTCAAAGAATGGGTTCAATAGAAATACTGTTGATAAATGGTCCAAGCTGAAAATTTCATCTAGAGAGAAAGCAAATCTGGTCACGAAGAGAGAAGCTCACACAGTTACTAAAAGATGTGTTTCTGACCCTTGAAATCATTATGGCAGGGGGAAAACTTGGCTCTTAGAACCATCTCCACCACTTCCTAGCTGCGCCAGCTTGAACAAGGGACTTTACCTCCCTGTATCTCCATTTCTCACGGTAAGTGAGGATCACCATCCTTATCGCTTGGGGCCACTTTCAGTGAAAGGGTGTCTACAAAGCACCTGCATACTACTGGTTTGCAAAATGCAGAAGACGTATTTGTGAATGTCGATTCCTTTCTCCCCTCCTACTGCGTGTTTTAAAGGTAAAAATAAACACAGGACTTGGAACAGAGCGAATATAGGGAAGAGCTCCTAGCCTGGAATCCAAGAGAAGAGATGGTCTATGAACACCCTAAAATTATTTGCAAAATATTTTGTTTCTGTTTATTTTTCTGGGGAGAGAGTCCAGATCTGTCAAGTGAGTCTTGAAGCAATCTATAAACACCACCACCCCCTGCCAAATTTAAGAACAACAGCAAAGATGAGCTCCACAGTTGAAGCTTAGCAGATGGATGTAATGGTGGTGTCATTGACCTTTGATAGCATTGGGCCAACTGCTCTCCTAATTTGAGACAGGACTGTGAATGCCAGGATTACTGTAGGGAGGAACAGTGCTTGAAGTTGGGTGTGTTGGACCCCAGCCCTCTGGGCCTCCAGAGGAGGGTTTTAACCAGATTGAACTTGGCCATGATGACATTGGCCCATATGGAGGGGGGATGTAGGAAGCAGCTTCTGATGCCGGCCACTGTCAGAATTAGGCTGAAGACCTCGCTCATGACCTCAGTGCCTGTTTGCTCTGTGATTACCATGGGATGGACTTCTCTGGACTTTCTGCTGCAATTTTCCTGAGCAGCTCATTTGTTTTTACCTAACAGTAACTGTGCCCTGTATGATCGATCCTTTTCCTTCTTTTCATCAGCAAGCAACCAGAAAATGTTAAGGCAAATGCGTCACTAAACCCATAGCCCAGGCTGTGGTTTGTGTTTTCTGTAGCACCCCCTTCTCCTCACTCCATTCGTGTCCTGGCTGCATCTGGGTGTTTATTTTCCCTTCACTGCATGTTAAAAATATGGAACAATTTGTATTATCTTGCTGTACTGTTTACTCTTGTGTAAGCCTCCTTCAGGTTCATTTTGGAACCAGGTATGTGTAAGCAATTCAATGTCCAAGAATGGCACCAGAGGGCTGCAAGCCCAACTAACTCTCCATTTTTTGGGGTAACATTCTGACTCTTACTTTTGTTTTTATCTCCCCTTTAGTCAGTTAAAGAGGATTCAGTCCCCGCAGAGGAGAATGTAAGTCATGTATTAAATGGTAGAATCATTCCATGCTCATCTTCCGCATGCTGGACCATTCATTGGGCATTTCAGCTCTGGGGTCCCATGTTCTTGCATGCTCCAATGTCTCCCATCTGCTGTAGACTCTTTCACCCTTTCATGTGATTAGGGACCAATGGGGAATAACACTGGGTGAATATTTGTACCGCCTATTGAATCAATGCAAACTAAACACAATATCAGAGCAAGTGTCTTTACAATTTGTTAACATTTAGGGGCTGAAAGAGTCTACCAATCATAAGAACATCCTCACACATCCTTAAGGGGCAATGATGCTGCACGCTGGGCTCCTCCATCTTGATTGCTCTTTCACCTCTATTTCCATGGCAACCCAGATTCTCTACTAACTGTGGGCGGTACCCAGGACAGGTAGTGGTGTCAAGCATGAGAGCATCTTACTGCATCGATGATGAGGCTGTTGGTCTTGGGCAGGAGAGCTGACTTCTCGGATCTCCACCTGAGAGACGTAGGTTGAGCCTCGCTGTCCAAACTTTCAAGACAGTGTGTTCACATCTGAAGGGGATGGCTCAATTGAGGCACCTCAAAAATGTAGTTTTCCAAAACCTCTTCCACGGAGATTAATAAATTGTCCTCATGAGTCAGCAGCTTTCTGCTCTGAAAGAAGTACAGTCTTTGGAAAATTTTGGAAGTGGGGATAAGTGAGTTCACAGCTCCTTAAGAGAGAAACTGATTATGATCACTTTGCCAAAGCAAAATATGTTTGGCTCTTTCTAGGTGTCTCTTGTTTGTTAGCCTTGGATGAGGCTTGTGTTTTCATTTTTATTTAATTGCTGGCATTGAACTGATGTTGAGAATCCAAGTACGTTCCAGCAATGTTGCCTGATGTGATGTGGATTGAAAATTAGAATGGCTATGTTATAATTCTTGTTAGGAGAAAGATCTTGCAGATCTGCTTTTTTGTTGTTGCAAATGTTTTCTTTCCCTCCCCAATCCCTGCTCTCCCTCCCTCCTCTCTTCCTCTCTTCTTTCTTTCTTTCTTTCTTTCTTTTCTTTTTCTTTCCCCCTCACCCTCTCCTTTGACTCAATCTTAGTAGCTCAGCAAAGCTCAGATCTCTCATAATTCCAGAAAATTCTCATGAATTTACCAGCTCTTTTCTATAGAGTCAAAGCCTCTATTTCACCAACATGTGAGGAAGAACTCTGTGAGTCCTTTTCCCCATGAACTTTAAATTTAAAAGCTGCAGGTTAAGTCTGAAGCATCAATTAGCTTTGAGGCTCTGAGTTTTTTGAAGAGAAACTTGTGTTTAGATGTTTGTGTGTAGTTGCCTGTCTGAGGAACCCCTTGCAGCTCGGGTGCTAACATGCAGAGTTGACCTTTGACAGACAAAGAGGAAGTATATCCTTTTCTAATGTGATGTTCAAAACAGAAATATAAATGTGAAACAAAAGTTAAATTAGTGACACCAAAAGAGAACAAAAAAGCTGATGAAGATATTAAAGAAAGCAAAGTATTTTCTCAAGAAAATAAAGAAACGTGATCAAAATGGCTTTAAATTACTTGGCCCTACAAGTAACATTTCTGTTTGGAAGCTCCAACATTTCATTGTCTAACAGCCTGTTAGTTGGAGGGAATGAGGCCTAAAGTAGTGATTCTGGGCCCATCATCCCCAAGCTGTGCCACTTCTGGAACCTCAGTTTACTCATCTCTTAAATGGCCACAATAATATTACCTACCCGTTAGGGTTCTGGTGAGAATTAAATGGGAACAAGGCATGTAACGTGCATACTTCAGGGCCTGAAACACAGGAAGAATTCAGTCATTCAGGGGACAGCAAACTGCAGCTCACAAGCCAATTCCAGCCCATTGTCTGTGTCCCTGTGGCCCACGAGCTAAAAATGGCTTTTACATTTTGAATGATGAAAAAATTGAAAGAAGAATGATATTGCAGGGTACTAAAAGTTATACAAATTTGGGACATTTGGGTGGCTCAGTCAGCAAAGTGTCTGACTCTTGATGTCAGCTCAGGTCATGATCTCAGGGTAGTGAGATCGAGCCCCACATGGGGCTCTGTGCTAAGCGTGGAGTCTGCTGAGGATTCTCTCTGTCCCTCACCCTCTACCCCTCCCCACCCCTCCCATGCTCATGCTCTCTAAATAAATAAATGAATAAATAAATAAAATGAGAATACCTGTTTTAAAAAAATTACACAAATTTCACATTTCACTGTTTATGAATAAAGTTTTATTAGAACACAGCCACACTCATTCATTTGCATATCATCTATGGCTGCTTTTCTGCTTCAATGGTAGAGTAGAGTAGTTGGGACAGGGCCCTTGGCAGGAAGAGTTTGCCGCCCCTGCAGTAACTGTTAGTGCATAGGAGTTATGATGTGATGAGTGAGCGCTTCCCAGCAATCAGTGATTATTTTGCCCTGTGAAATTACACATCTGTCAGCTGACTCAGTGCCCATATGGAATGAAGGCACGTGTGAAATAATTAGTTTAATTTCCTCCTCCCAAATAAGAGAGATGGCATTAATCAAAACAACGCATAGTACTCTAAACCTCCAAACAGGACCATTAGGTGTGATTAATCCTATTATAAGAGTCCTTTAACTAGCAACTTCTGGCTAAAATATGGTTGGGTTTATTTATTTTTTAATTTCTCTACCATCAGTTTCTATAACCCATCTATCAACCAATGCGAAGCAAAAGACAGAGTGATTTCCACGTTTCTCAAAGTTTTTCATGAAGAGAAAAACAAAGCTTTTGAAACCCTCAGAAGTTTAGTGCTTTTCCTAGAATGTGCTTCTGGTCCTATCAGAAATAAAATCTACTACAGAAACTACTGAATCATTCTGCTGTAATCTGAAAACATTTTGGCCATTGCTTAATTAAGTTAATGTTCTAACTCATGGGGGAAAAAAAATCTTTCCATCCCAATGACCTATACGATGAAGGAAACAGGTACTTCTGTTGTTTACCTATGAGATTAGTAAGTAATCTCATAGTTGCAAGGGAAAGGAAACTCAACCCAACCTAGATTTGTTTTAAAAAAAGAAATTCATTGTCACTCCTCACTGGGAAGTAGCATTGGTTTTAAATCAGTCTTGATGCAGAACTTCCCTGTGGCTCAGCCTTCCTGACCTGGCTACCTTTCTTCTCACATCCCATCACACAGTCCAGAGTAAAGGAGAGATCGGGCCAGTGGAGACCCTGCAGGCGCTGGAGCTTGTTCTCTTTCACGGACTTACGTGGGTTCACAGGCTCTGTGAGTCAGCTCTTGCCAGGCTGTGTTGCGGTAACATCCAAGCCCCACGCTTGGCGTTCAACAAGAAAGATCCTTTTTTCCCTCACTCATGCTACATGGCAGCCATAGGGTGGCTGTGGCTGAGCCACGTGGCTTCGTCCTGCTGAGATCTAGACTGAGAAAAACATCCCCTTCATCAAGGACGTGCGATTGTCGTGACAAGAGAGAAGACAGCCAGAGGTGAACCATGAGATGGCTCAGAGAGCCTCCACTCAGTCTTGCTTTACGGCATGTCTGCTCCTGTTACATTTGCCAAAGCAAGTCACCCAGCAGTGGGCACAGGTGCATGATCCCTTTACAGGAAGCCAGGGTGAATAATTGGGAAAGTAATACATTCTGCCACATACTCCCATCCCTGAACTCATATGGTCAAGGAGCTAGACCTTGGCTAGGATTGGCTTAGACCTGCTCGAACAACTGCATCCTGATCACGTGGGCTTAAAGTTAAGGAGGGTTGTTCCCCTAAAATAAAACTGGGGTTCCATGAAGAGAATGAGGGAGAATGGCGCCTAGATTGAAAAATAAAATCTTTCCCAGGTCTTTGTAACCAAATAATCACGTTCTAAATTAAATCAGGCAGCCTCTTTAAAAGATTCTTATGTAAAAACTGTTGGTATCAATATTGTGTGTTATGGTGGAAGTGTAGGTGGAGGAAATCTATTTTGCTATAAATCAGTTTCCAAAACTCAAGTTCTAGTGAAAACTGTATAATCCAAATTCCAAGAGTAAATATAGTATAACATTTGAGGCAAAAAAGTGAACACTTTTGCTCCCTTAATGTGTATTGTCTGTGTTAAACGTACTAGCCATCTTCCTGCAAAATCTAAAATCCCCTCTCCTGAAATCAAGCAAGGGGGATTTGATTCTAAAATATAGCACAAATCTGATTTTCATTATATCCATCATACCCAAAATTAAAATGTGCAGATGCAGTTTTTTTTTTTTCTAAATAGAGAGTGACTTTTTCCAAAACCCTGGCCTGGAAGGATATCAGAAAAATATCCAAACAAAAACCAAATTCTATGTCTGTATATGCAAATCAGCTCCTAATTCAGTTCAAATCCTTCTGGATTTCCCCACTGGAAATCAGTGGATTTTCCTTGGCTGCTGAAAGCCAATTTCTTGGCCTGACTTCAAAGTTAATGGGAGTCTCTAGAAGTCCCTCCAACACCAGGCTTTTTTTTTTCCCTACTAAAATAGTTGTGTTTTTTTTTTAATTTTTTTATTAACATATAATGTATTATTTGTTTCAGGGGTACAGGTCTGTGATTCATCAGTCTTACACAATTCACGGCGCTCACCATAGCACATACCCTC